CTTAAAGTTTGCTGGGGAATTCTGGGAGTTGAAGTCCACACATCTTAAAGTTTGCTAGGGAATTCTGGGAGTTGAAGTCCACACATCTTAAAATACCTGAGATTGAGGAACACTGGCAGATATAGTCATTTTATTACTATATATTTATTTTTCTAAGCTAAGCTCTTCACTTTGCACTTTGGAGGGATGAACAGGGAAAGATGGCCACACCCTGATGGCCAATTGGCGACCTCCTTTCACAGACTTTGGAAACAGCGGCAGAAAACCAGTTGCCACTGAGCAGGTGCAGAGTGCTTCCCCTCCCCCACAGCTGAATCGCCCAACGCTGTGAGTTTGGCCCCCCCAATTCTGCAGTCTCCGTGTGATTGGCAGAGGGGGAGGCTCCCGCCACACCTTGCCTTTCCGATGAATACTGCCGTTCTTAACAAATAAAAACCCCATCAAAATAGCCCATTATTTGATTTGCAGTTATATGCCTAGCAGGCAGGGATGTTATTAAAAGTTGGATTCAGAAGGATCTTAGAGTTTGTACATCTCAAATTAATTTCTAACGCTGCCTCCATAGGAACAAATGTCAAAGGAAGAGGATGTCACTTTTTAAAAATTGCCTAGACAAAAAAACCTTCCAAATTAATAAAAGACACCCCCCCCATACACACCCCTCATTAAGATGATACAGCTAAACTGGGACAGAGTGAGAGAAGAGGAAAAAAACACAGATATTTAGCCCCGAGGAAAAAAAGAGACCAGGGGAATATCTACTAAAAAACACCTCTTCAAAGACAAATTCCACCGTGCAGAACAAGGAATAACAGATTTAAGTTATAAGAAGGGAAAGTGCTATGAATGTTAGGAAACACTTCCTGTCTGGGTTCCTGCATGGGGTAAGGGGTGAGGCTGGATGACCTCAAGGGTCCCTTCTGGATCGTGTGGCCTTAGAAATGGGGTGGGAAGCGTATGCAGAAGCTGGTAGGAAATGAAAGGCAGACGTGCGGGCAGCAACGGTGATTTTATGAACTGCGGCTGCTCGTAACTCGGTTGCGGCTGAAGGCAAACGCTGTAAACTAAAATCAAGGGAGGTCAGAATTTTTAAAAAGGGTTTTTTGCCTGTAAGCTGCTGATTTTAAATCCACCTGGAAAAAGGAGAGATAAAAGACTCCCAGTGCAATGCAATAAAAAGGTGTTTTTCAAACTTGGCCGCTTTAAGATGGATGGGCTCCAACTCCCAGAATTCCCCAGCCAGCCATGGCTGGCTGGGGAATTCTGGGAGTTGGAGTCCACCCATCTTAAAGCAGCCAAGTTTGAAAAACACTGCATTGAAAGGCTGGGGTGGGTTGACTTTAATTATAGTTACTCTTCATTCACCGTGATTGCGCATATCAGGAAATTGGCAAAAAGCCTCATTTTTACCCTTGTTCAACCAGGGAAAGAAATGCATTAAAGGGCCTTGGGGCCATGAAACTCCCAATCAAAGGTCTGTGGACGAGCCATTCCCAGCCTTGCAGGGCAGGCGTGCCGCTGAACCACCAGCCCGTTTCAAGATGCGTCAGAATCACTGTTCTCCAAAGAGGATCCTGTTGTGACTCTGCAAGAGTCCCTGCTCTGAGGGGCTCCTTCCAAGCAGGAGGCCCACCTCGGGGATCGGGGCAGCAAACGTCCTGCTAGATCACACCCAAGGCCGGTCGGTCCCTGATTTGGCTTCTGCGGTGGCTGGGGAAGTGGGACATGATTGCTGTTAAGGCTCTGCATGAGTTCACGTGACACCTGAGCGCCCCCCCCCAGCAGATCCATTGTGTGCGTCCAACCCAAATGCTTCGTTTCCAGCTCAGTTTTGTCGGTAAGGGAGTCACGCAAACACAACTGTGTATGTAACTATATCCTCTCATTCTGGAGCTAACAATTTTGTAGTCATGGGTTACCTGTAACGATTGATGGATCCCGTCTGCAGAACTCTCCCAGCTCATGGTTGCATTCACACAATACACTAACAAGGTGAAAACGAGTGCTAGGCTTTTACCGGGTTGTGGGAACCCAAATTAGCCAATTACCTTCCCACATCTGAGTGGGCAGCCCCAACTGATATTTCTTGATTTATTCAATTTATATAGCCGCCCATCTCAGTGACCAGTGAAATATAATGAATTCTGCTAAATTAGGTTAACATGTGTGAACACCACCAGCGTGGATGACATCTCCTCCTCCTCTAGGGTGGGGTGGGGACGAAGGCATTCCTTGGGGGTGCATTTGTGCAATACATAGCCTAATTATGGAGGGCTTCAGCTTTATGGTTCACGCTCAACCGCACCCCAAGCAGGCTGAGTTCACACAACCTTCTCAAACTTCTTTCCCCCATACACCCAAATGCATCAAATGCAAACCACGATTAAGCTGAAGGTGCTCTGTCAATGCAACCGTCTGGTCTTCCACGGACCCGGGTTGGCACGTTGTGTGAACTGGATCAATCCCGGGTAGTCCCGCCTTCCCACCAACCCCAGGCAAACGCCTGTCATCCGCGCAGACGGATCGGCACCCCGTACACGTGAACAGAAATGGCCTCCCTGGTTAGGCAGGCTCTTTTTTCATCCTGCAAATGCCGCTGCTCTTTTTCTGCTAAAAATTATGGTTCGGTTTTGATGAATTGCAGGCTCCCCGTTGGGGCGGCGACCTTTCGGGTTCAAAAAGGCTACATAAATAAAGCATAACAAGAAGGACTTGCAATTAATCATAATGGATTAATTACTCAGCTGAGCAGGAAGCCTTGCACGGATGAGGTGAGGGAACTCCTGGCTCCCATCTCTGCAAGATTCAAGAACCCAACTTTTGCACGCCGACCTGGAAATCGGTTTTCCAGCACTGACCGGGGGAATAAATTCATTTTTACTTGCGAACAGTTCTGCACACTTTTTGGGGGCGGGGAGCAAATCAGCTGCTGTGAGGAAGGAGGCAAAGCGCGGATACCAGCCGGACACTTTTACCCCCCTCCAAAGGTCTAAACTTCGTCCCACGTAATTGCACGCCCTTTTTAATCCAAATCAGCCCCCCCGCCCGCAAGGTCCGGTCGCCCCCTCGAGATCCCGCTTCAAGCAA